ACACACACACACACACACACACACACACACACACACGGAGGGGGAGGGGGAGGGAGAGAGGGGGAGAGAGAGAGAGAGAGAGAGAGAGAGAGAGAGAGATGTGAGATGTGAGAGAGACACATTAATTGGTTGCCTCCTGCACACACCCCAACAGGGGCCCAGGATAGAGCCTGCAGTGGAGGTATGTGCCCTTGGCTGGAATCAAACCCGAAACCCTTCAGTCCTCAGGCAGACACTCTAACCGCTGAGCCAAACCGGCTGGACTTTTTATAACAGGAATATATTACTTTATTTTATAGGAAACACATATAAATGAGTCAGTTTAAATACTTGTCACAGAACTGAATTTTTATGGTTCCTTTTTTATGTGCTATTCAATAAATGACTTGCCTATATGTTTACCTTTTCCTTTAAGCCATATTATAAATTGAATCCTTTTATAGGTGAACTAGAAAGAATTTATTTCATAAATTATTGATATTTAAAAGAAAAATGGTAGCAAATAAGAAAAAGTACTGGTTAAAAAAAAATAGCTCCTAACTTTCTTTAGATCATTTGTTTACAATGTTCAACTGCAATATACACACACACACACATACATATATATTTTAATATATCTTTATTGATTTTAGAGAGAGGAAGGGGGGCAGAGAGAGAAACATCAATGATGAGAGAGTTGTCATTGATCGGCTGCCTCCTGCATACCCCCGACTGGGGACCAAGCCCACAACCTGGGGCATGTGCCCTGACCAGGAATCGAACCTTGATCTGCTGGATCCTAGGTCGATGCTCAACTGCCGAGCCACACCGACTGGGCTATATATATTTTTTTGGTGGGTCCGTAAATGGAGTTACCTTTGTATAATTTTTCTGTTTTTTAAAAATTTTTTATTGGATTTTTTGGGATGACATTGGTTAATAAAATTATATAGGTTTCAGGTGTACAATTCTATAATACATCATCTGTACATTGTATTGTGTGTTCACCACCCAGAGTCGTCTCCTTCAGTCACCATTTATCCCCTCTACCCTCTTCTATCTGCCCCCACCCTCCTTTCCCTCTGGTAATCACCACCTTTGTATAATTTTAAAATATGTTTACCAGAATAATTTAATTGAAAAGATGATTTCCTATCATATTTCCGTGTGCTTTTTAAGAAATTAGATTATTGCCTTTTAGGTTTCTCAGGACCATGAAACAATGGCACAAGTTTTGTTCAGCAGGAATTTGAGATTGAATGTAGCTTTAACTTTCTGGAAAAAAAGAAGTATAAGTGAACTTGTAGCTTATTTGGTGAGGTAAGTGTGACCTTTTATGCTTTTTGTTCAATAAAAGTAATTTCCAATGTGTTACCTAGAAGTGTCTCTTTTTTGTTATTACTGGCTAAAGTTTTAAACCTCTGTATTTAGCTTCAATAGAGACAATATGGTTTAAATTACATTTATTACCAGTCTAAGAGCAACCAAAATACAGAAAACTGTTTTATCAGGCTGAATAAAGTTGTTACCTTTTCTAAGATTCTTATCTATAAAACTAAGAGATACGAGTATGGGAAAACTAAACCTTTAAGAGTCCCCTATGAGTGAAAATTTTAAACATTACTTTCTCAAATGTTACCTTAGTGAGGCCTTCCTTGGCCACCTTATTTAAAAGTACACATTTCTTTACTCTATCTTACCTGTTTTATTTTTCTCCATAGCACTTACTACCATCTACATGTTCTATATATTTTACTTGTTTATATGTTTGTTGTCTGTCTCTGCCTTCTCACACACATACACACCCATGCTCACGCACATACTAGAATGCAAACCCTGTCTCTGTTTATTGCTGTACCCTCAGTATCTGGCTAATCATAGACACAGATTATTGGTCGAATGAGTGAATTTCTCAGAAGCAGTGTGAAGTTCATCATATGAAAATAATTGAGGAAATCAGCTCTCTAAGCAATGCTACTCTTTTTGTTCCCACAGGATAGAAGACCTTGGAGTGGTGGTGGATTGCCTTCCTGTGCTTACCAATAGGTAAAAAGAATATTTTTCAGAAAACAAATTAGTTTTAAAAAAGGAAAAATTATGACCTGTTCATATTTTTATAACTTAGTATTTATTTTAGTTTACAGGAAGAAAAGCAATATATCTCACTCGGCTGCTGTGTAGACTTGTTGCCTCTTGTAAAGTCACTACTTAAAAGCAAATTTGAAGAGTAAGTGCTAATCTGAATCTCAATTCATTTTCCTTTTTCAACATCCTTGATTTTGTGCCCCGTGAGTGCATTAGTAGTAGATTGAATTCCATGGGACATACGTGGTTACTCTTTTCAAGTTGGTTATAGTCTAATTAGGAAAAGAATATGAAGTGACTAAAGACAATTACAAAAGCATCTATAAACAAGTTACATAAAATACAGTTTTATGAAATAAATGTTTAAAAGGAGGAAAGATCAATGTAATGTGTTTTTTTTGAGTAGGGGGAGTATCATTTTTTTGTAAAGACTACCTAGATGAAAACACTTGAATTTTGTAACAAAATGTCATTTCAGATATATAATAGTTGGTTTAAACTGGCTTCAAGCAGTCATAAAAAGGTGGTGGTCAGAACTATCATCCAAAACAGAAATTATAAATGATGGGTGAGTATACCTTTAAAGATAACCTCATGCTCCTAAATCACCCCCCCCCCAGAAAAGCAGCTGGATTAAGCTAGGTGATAATTTTTTTTCATGATCATCAGTATATAATACTTATCCTTTTTGTTTCTAGGGAAATATTAAATTGGAATACTGTTCATATGAGAAAATTACACATAGAAGTTCAATTCCAGAGCCCAGTAACCCCCTGTACTACTTCTAGCAAAACTCTACTCTTCATTGTATTTTATTTTATTTTTTATTATTGATTTACTTATTTATTTTAGAATAAAAATCTTTGTTACATGAGGTAAGATAGGAAAAAAGGGGATTTATTTGCCTTTCCGAGCCTTGATTTTCCTCAGATAGAACTCCAGCTCCTTGCCCTCGAGCACATAGCCATCTGCTTGGCCACACTGGCCTGGTCTTGAAGTGATAGGTGCAAGAAGCTTGCCCTGCTAGTCTGGCTCCTCTGGAAGACTGCTGATTTTGGCATTCTTTTTCCTTTCGTTATATTTCTTCTGAATTTTCTTTGATCTTTTTTTTGTTTAAAATCTCTTCCTCCTCAGGAGTCAGCTTGGCTCCCTTCGTGTGGCCCAGGGGCAGTGCCTAGTGGGACTGGTGCCTCTGTGGGTAGGGTGTGCTGTCAATGAGCACGACGCAGTTCTTTACTAGGGTCTTAGTGCGGACCAGTTTGTTGTTGGGTGCATCATAGACAACATCAGTAATCCTTGTTTTGCATGGACAACACTGAGCCCCAGGAGAAGTTGCCCACGTCCAGCCTCAAGGCTCAGTACTTCTTGTTGCCTCCCCACACGTGCACTGTGTGTATGCTCCAGGGTCTAATCTTAGTGTTGGCAGCAGGGTGTCCCAGCTCTTATTTTTGCTGCTTGTGATAGGGCTTTCTCTTGCCCCGTGTTGTAATGCTTGTGCCAGTGGTCCCGAGAGATGCCCATAGCTCTGCACTGGCTTCCTACTCTTCATCTTAGAAGGAAAAAGCACAGCAGAGGTTGAACCATTATAATGAGTAAGGGAGAGAAAAGAGATGGCCTTTAGTGGAATAAGTAATGAGACACAGGAATGGAGGCATCCTGCAAGGTCCTTTGGCTACCTAGACATTAACTTCAGAATCCAATATGGACAGTTACAATTCTAAAAACTGTATTATAATCATCATAACTTGAGTATTCCCTTGATGTGAAAATATGTAGGTATTTTACCAAATGAGCCAGATTATCATGAAGCTACAAAAAATATCTCCCAATGGTTTCCTTAAAGTTTATATATAGTTTTCTTTTTAGACTCAAAATTTCCTACTGCATACCCAAGAACAAGTTGTCTAAGTGCTTCATGCCTAGTTTTCTTACCTGCATTAACAAGTAACCTTTAATTTCTGTGATTGGCATGTACTATTTTAGAACTGCTTGACTTCAATTAGTATAATTTTCTCTGATAAGTACTTAACTGTTTTCATTAAATGTATTTACTACCAAAGTTCATATCATATTATATTTGCATTTTCCTTCTAGAAATATTCAGATTTTAAAACAACAATTAAGTGGATTGTGGGAACAAGAAAACCATCTTACTTTGGTTCCAGGATATACTGGTAATATAGCTAAGGTAATCTATATTTAAGCGTAAAATTTAAGGTTAAAATCAATATTTAAGCTTAGTTAAAATTTAGAAATAATATGTGAGTATTATGCAGTTCGAAATGAACTCTCTAAAATCTTGAGGCAAAGTAATTCAGTAATACTCAGTAAGGTCTACAGTTAATTTCTTATTTGCAAATGCTTATGGTCTTCTGGATATGAATGTGACTTTGACAGGGAACGCAAGAATTACAGATAAGACAGAATGTGTTTGATATACAGCCACAGAAATAATGTGCTAGAGGTTATTTAATGACCTAGTTCCAATCAAAGAAAAATATTTGAAAAAGCTAAAAATCCAGGTAAAGAAGGCATCCGAAGAGTAGGTGAGGAATACAATTAAATGGTTTGGGGGATAGTATATTTTATTTGACTTTGGCTAATGTCATGCTCTTTGGGAAAGTAAACTGTTCATATCACAGTATGAATTGATTTGCTTGTCTCTTAAAGGAAAAGGTACATTGGACTTTAATATTTAAACTCCAGAAAACATTGGCATATAAAATACATATAATTTCAGAAAAAAGCCATTGTTAAATCTATTCACCTTTTTACTGAGCATATTGCTATCATAAATGAGCATTAGCCAGAAATATAAAAGCGTTCTTTAATTTAAAAATATATAATATACTAAATAAGACGATTTACGTTATAGACTTGTAAAAATCTTCTTGGATACTTCAAGAAATGAAGCAAGATGATGTACAAATGTGTGTTACCACTGTGTATAATTTTACTTTGTAGAATTTTTAATGATTAAAATCTTATAAGCAGAAATCAGTTTCCCAGTAGTATTTTCCTGTTGTTCTTTTGATATTGGGGGAAAAATGAAGTGTAAAAGCTGAAAAAAAGTGGAATACTTTTAGAACATACATAATATATCACATTGTTCTGGAGGGATCTTATATTCTTGGTAATAGAACTGAAAAATTATTGTTTTCTTAGAAATTTGCTTTTCATTGTAATTTTTTATAAAGGGAGAAGCTTTATTGTGAACATGAGATTAAGATAAAGACAATATTGAGTGATTAAAAGTTCTCTGAAGTTGCTTAAGCTATGATAAAAACCTCCTTTACAATATTAAAACCTCAATTATAGTTTTCTTGAAGGTAGAAATCAGAAACATAGGCTGTCATCAAACTGAGGGAATTGCTGTGAATGATTTAATGAACCTGCCTAGCTATAAAGGCAGAGTTGCTTGATCACAGGAACCAAACCATTTACTCAGCACTTAGCAAACATTTATTGAGCATGTGCTGTGTGCCAGGCCCTGTGCTAACCAAATGCAGATTAAGAAGTTGAGTAAGACACAGTTTTTACCCTCAAAAGTTTACAAAGGGAAACTAAAGCAAATCAAGTGACAAAAAGGGAGAAGAAAGGGGTTGAGTATATGTGTATTTCATGTATAGCTAATGGAATGCTTTTGTTTTATTCTCTAAGGATGTAGATGCTTATTTATTACAGTTGCATTGAAAGACTTCATCTACTAAAGAGCATTTGGTTGTTCAAAGCATCCCTGGACTCTGTGATTTCTGAATAAGTCTCATTGGAGAACTGTGAACTGTGGAAGAAATCAGAACCTTTTTTGTTTTTTTAAAGCCACATAATAAAACCACTAACAAAACGCTAACGGTCTACTTCACATTGAAGTGGAAAATTATCCGAAAGGAGCAGCTTCAACTTGAGTGAGGTGAAAGCGCACCGTGAAGAAGATTGTTCACCTTTGCTGCACTTGGGATTTATATGGTTATTTGGCAACATTGTTTAAGAACTACTGGATCTTAGTGCAGTCCTGCATAAGAATATACTTTATACTTTGTGAAAAATAAGACAGAACTTATTACTAGGAACCGCAAAGACCAATCATCATTACTTTTTTTAAGATTGTGTTTTATAAGGAAACACTCAAATGTGTGCAGCTATTTTCTTATATTAAAAAGACTTTGAAAGTTTAAGACATCATAGCAAATAATACTAAAGGTTGTTTTTCCACACTGAGATACTCTGTATACAAGATGCCTTAATTATTAATAAGCCAATGTGTATAATACCAATATCTGTTTTTAAAAAATTAAAACCAACCATGCTTCTGGCATGAAAATTATGGAATTAAATCAGGGGTTTCCATTCATGTAGAAGGTTGTCGTCAGAACTTATTCCACACCATCTTTAAAACTTGAGAATATTTTTGATATTTCTGAATTTTTTTGGCCAGAATTGTCATGTCATGTACGTATGTATTATTCCTATATAAAAGAGGTGAATATGTATTTGTATGAGTGCTTGTCTGGAAGTGTTCAGAGAATTGGCTAATTTATATTCACTTTCTATTGTATATAGACTTCTAATATTTCAGTTCTGTATCATTTAAGCTTCATTTGAGTAAATTTACTAAATATTCCCATTTTTTGATTTTTAAAAATCTGGTTTTGTATGAATTCTAATTCTTTTTCACTACATTATAATTTAAAGAATTACATACAATGCTTTAGAAATGTTTACAGTTAGTGCTGATCTTGTATTTTAAATTCCAGTTCCAACACTACATATTACTACCTCCTCCAATGGTTGGTGTGAAATGCCAGCAGACTGTATGAGGTCTTTTTCTTTTTAATACTACCTTTGGTGTCAATGAACCCACTTGTGGAATGTCATCACAGCTGTATATCTTAGCCTGTCTTGAGAGTGGGTGGGAATTAAATACCACTATTGGTTTGTACATCATCTCATCTTTAATGAGCCCGAAAGGCATCTGAGCAAAGATTTTAATATCAAATTTCTATGCAGTAATCTTTCAAGCACTTGAATGTAAGTCTAGCATTTACCCAAGTTGCAACTACTGATGTGAATCATAAACAAGCATCTTTCTTGCTTTAAAAATATTAAAAATGTTATCTTTTACTGATTTCTCCTTTTGTGTAGCTATATTTCATATAGCTATATATTCTTCACAGTGAACATCACTTGTAGTAATTGGCTATTTTCTTAAATCTTTAGATTAGGATAATTTCAGATTACTGCACTTCTGTGATTTGAGAGTTGAGTCATTTAAGAAGTTGTTTTTAGGAGGTGGGAATTTGAATCGGAAACCTACGTCATCTCTGTGAAACCTTAAGATGATGAAATATAACCTTCCTTTGTTCCTATTCCTTTAGTTATCACTTTATCTAACAGTTTGAACCAGTTAACTCAGAGTGTGGTGCTACTGAGGCTAAGGACAGGAGCTCGATCCTTTTACAAGTTCATTCACTTTACACACATACACAGAACTATTCATGGCTAGAGACTGCACCTTTTCTTAAGTATCCATCTCACAAATTCAGCTTTTGGTCACAAGGAAGATGGTGTATATAGCTTAGCATAAACCCTTCACCTCAAATAGAAAGGTAACTCAAATAATTGGTTTATGTAATACCATAGACTTTTAATCTAATATTTAAAACAATATTATATTAAAAATAATATATCTAAAATGCTGTGTCACTATAATTTTCTGTGGGTAAGATCATTAACTAAACAGTACCTTCTAAAAATTAAACTCCAGTAAATCAAACCATTAAAAATTAAGTACAAATGCAAATGAAACATAATAAGAAAATTTACTATCCTTTTTAACAGGGTTGTCCTAACTTTGGGTTTGTTGAAGGAGAGTAGATATTCCATTTTATTTACTTGGAGCTAAATAAAGCAGCAGTCTTTAGCTCACAAAGATTATTCAATAGCACACACTTCTGATTCTTGGCCTTTGCAATTTGTCTTAGTACCTACCTCTCTCATTGACCCAGTAATGATTAGTATTACTTGATTTTAAGATTCTTGGATAAAAGATGTTAGATAAGTAAATATTACTAAACACTTCGCTATTAAGCTCTGAGCATGCTATATAATCAACACAGTGTTGATATCCAGAAAGAGCCAAAGAAAGTGTTTACAAAGTATTTTGGCTGTTGTATTGACCTAGATTAGGACAATTGCTGTCTGTCATTGCTGTGCTGCTAAGCAGAACTGAGGGACTGTCCAAGGTCTCGATGCCTTACTACCTCTTCTACCTTCTTAGGTTTTCTGTACTGAACTCTGCTAACTTTGCAAGTCTAAGGACAGGTAGTAGTTTATTGAGGTGATAGAGGGTTATAATCAAGTGATTTGTTTCTAACTAGGAATAAAAGTGAATGTCTTTTGTAATAAGTGATCATGATCAGGAAAAGAGTTAAAAGTTAGGAAGCAAGCATTATCAGATGGTTTTTAAAATTAATCCTTTGGCAGTAACTTTAAAGGTAATTGACACATTATTTTACATGAGTCCTGGGATGTGAGTATTTGGATACAAATATCTATATCCACTTTGGGGAATCTTAATGTTAGCACTGACACCTAAGGGCTCCTGAGGAATTAAATCTGTATCCACCCCCTAAACATAACCTAGTACATGTCATATCCTGACCTTAAAAATCGCTTTGTGGGTTCAAGGCTGTATTTCTTGCCTTTGACATAGTAATTTTCTCAAACTTAGAACATACCTACATTTGGGTAACTAATTTGAGTAACAATTATTACCTATTAAATACTGATAGTAGAAATAATATTTAAATGTTTATTTATGTAAATGAGTCAAAGAATCTGAAAAAGCGAAATTTAAGTTAATGTTTTGTTAGACATTCACAATCTCTTCTGATTTAAGAACAAGATGCTAATGTCAGTTGCCTTTGTTGATTTAAAGGAAAAAAAAGAATCATGAGCAGCTGACTTGCTGGAGTAACTCATTTGGATGCACTGCTTCTTTCAATACAGACTTTTATTTTCTGGATTACTCCAGGTGGGAAAAGTATTGCTGGACATTTGTTGGTAGGTATTTCCTCCTATATTATCCTTTCCCCCTCAATTTCCAGTTCTTCTAGCTGTGAAAATGGTTGTAAAACTTTATAACACACTATTCCCCCTCCTTTTTTATACTGTAACAGGAACATAGAATTAAAAGTTCCTCCCTAAACACTGTTAGCTTCTAATGTGTAGTATAGCTTGATTGATTCAATAACAGCACCACCCATAACAACAAAAATAAATACTGCATATCATACACCCAGTATACTGAGTACATTTTGTTTGTATTTGGTTTTTTTAAGTATTTCCTTACTGATTTTAGAGAGAGGAAGGGAGAGAGAGAATAACATCAATCGATTGCCTTCCACACGCACCCCAACCGGGAGTCAAACTCGCCACCTTTTGATGCTTCAACCATCTGAGTCATACCAGCCAGGGCCTCAGTACATTTTCTAATGCTGTGCTTAAAATACTATTTCAAATATTGTAGTCATAATTTTATTTAGGTCAGATTATTGATTTAATAGTACCTGTTAAAATCAAACTTTAGTAAAACGTAAGTACAAAACAGTACAGTTGACCCTTGAACAATGTGGGGGTTGAGGGCACTGGCTCCCCCACCCCCTGCAGTTAAAAATTCACATATAACTTTTGACACCCCCAAAACTTAACTATTAGTAGCCTACTGTTGACCGAAAACCTTACCAATAACGGTCTATTAACACATTTTGTGTTATATGTATTATATACTGTATTCTTACAATAAACTAGAGAAAAGAAAATGTTATTAAAATCATAAGAGAAAATACATTTACAGTATTTATTGGAAAAAACCTGCGTATAAGTCGACCTGCACAGTACAAGCCCCTGCTGTTGAAGGGTCAGCTGTGGATACCACAGTATTTTCATCTATGCACTGTAATTAATCATAAAGCAAGATGACAGGTACTGTGCACCAGTAGTTCTATGAAAGGGCGGCCCCGTAGCTGCCAGTATTTTTCACAGCAAAGCTGCTTATATAGTATTGCTTTGATATACAAATTATTATTTTCTAAACTATGAAGTTTTCAGATGAGAAATGCCAGGCATCTGAATAAGGATTTAGCCCCTAAGTATACTTGATTCTTATGCTTTACAATATTCTGTATTTTCATTCAGATTTAAATCAGAATTTTCTGTTAACGTCCTGGATTCGGGCAAGTCTGTTGTGACTGGATTTACACCAAAGCTAAGAAGAGTTGATCCAAAGTGTTTTCTGGGGTAAGAAAGAGGAGTTGTGCGTGTCCTGGAATACACTGAATTGCCAGAATTACTTGCTCCTAGAATTATTTTATTGCATTAATCAACCAAACAAACCTTCAGCATGGAGCCTGGACTAGAATTAGGCCTCACTGTCCAGGAGTCAGGAGCTGTTTACTTTTCTACTTTGATTTTAGAAAATTAGAAGTAAGTAAAAGAAAAAACTTGATTAGCTGTTTGTATAAAATTAGTTAACAGGTGAGTGAGGACCTACCTCACCTCTGGACTTGCCCTGCAATACACTCACCAGTTCCTCTCTGTGCAACTGCAGCTTTGCCTCAGCAACAGCAGGAGAAATGAGAGTGACACCTTTCTTTTAGGCAGGTTCTGAAGCTTACTAAAGGTTTAGAAGAGGCTTATCGTTTCCCCTTAGCCATCCAGATTTTTCTGCTCCTTAGAATAGAAGATAAGAAATCATTAAAGGGGAGAAACCAACTCACTTTTTATTCTTTTCATTTGAAGGCTCCTCTCCCTGTCCCTTAGACATTGGTGTTCTTCAAGCTTGTCTTAGGGTCTTTCTCACTTTTACTGTTTTCCTGAAAAATTCTCATTTGTTCCCATGGCTTCCTTTACCATCTACATTAATTTCATCTTAGGAGTGGAAGGAAGGCCATTTTGGGGTTCATCAGGTAGACGTGGATTTTTTTAAAGGTTGAGAAAACATTGAACTGTATGATGGTCACCCTCAAATACATGTCTTGCCCTAAACCTAACTCTTAGCTCGTAAATTATATATTCATTGCCTACTTGACACATCTGTTGGGATATCTTGTAGAATCTTAAGTCTACCAGGATTGATCTCACTTTCCACCTCCACTTCCCTCCACCAACCTACCCCCAGCTCCACCCCCACATGGACAAAAAGTCTGTTCTGTCTGGATCCTGGGTTTCCATCCTCATTAATAGGCCTCATATCAGCAATTATCAAGCCACAGCCTGTGAATCATCTTTGACTCATCTCCAAATCACTGAAGTCCTGTTGGAGCACCCCCTAAATTTTATCTTTCTGCATCTCTCACCTTTCCTGCCATTACTTTAGTCTATGTTATTACAGCAGCTGCCTGACTCTGGCGCTCCTCCTTCATTCCTACAACCTGTTTTCCACACATGCTGCCCCGGGTAGTGCAAAGCACAAGTCTTTCTGTGTCACTCCTTAAGGCCTCTCAGGAGAGTCTGAACACTGTGATTTACGATCTTCTGACAGCACTTCCTCCCCTCCCCCTGCTCCAGGTGGAATGATGTTTCAGTTTCCAGAAAGCATTACACTTTCTGCAAATGCTTCCTTTGCCTGGGCTGGGCAGGAGCCTGGTGGATGGAGAGAAAGAGGGGGAAATGGGGGCATCTGTGATACTCTCAACAAAAAAAATAAATTTTTTAAAAATGCAAGGGTGTGGCATCTTTCGACATACATTGTATGAGGAAGTAATTTAGTAATCCAAAGCTATTTGTGATAGCCTAGCAGCTAGAAATGAGTGGTTCTAGAATAAATATAACCAGTTTTCTTCTCTCATGTTTTTTGTTTTAGAAAATTGGTCTATAAATGGTCATGCTATAACAAAATAAAACTTTAGCTAAAATGCGTTTGATTCTTAAAGGTTGTTAACGTTTGTTTTTCTACTGTATGGTTTTTACCTTCCACATAAAATCCATGCAAATGAGGACCATCTTACAGTGCAAAATTAAGATATTTTCATATAATGTGTAAAATATATGTTTTTTTCTTGGAATTAAGGGTATCCCTTTGGTGTTTGTGTTTCTTTTCTGTTTTTATCTTAAAGTGGTTG